GGATTAGCGTGTCAGCTGATCGTGAAAATTTTAAGTTCTATCGCACACGAGCTATCGCGATAAAAAATTGATAAACTTTCTGAAATTGATAATAATTTATTCAAGACTATTCTTTTTGAATATAGTTAAAATTTCTGCAGAAAATAATGTCTAAATACATTTTAATTTAAATTTGCGTAAAAGAGAGAGACAATTCTAAAATATCTGCAATTTTGCTCAACCATTTCTTTTAAGAAAGAATATTAAAAATAAACATGCAAATCCATTATAAAATGTTATATAAACTTTTAGACACACCAATCACAACATTCCCATCTTAACCGCTCTAATTAGCGCTCCCTTAGCTAATACGCCCGAGGGAGCGATAGGTTTCCTTCCGTTATCCCCTGTGCCCCCTCCACATTAGCTATACCGCAGTCTGCGGAGGTCAAGTCAATCCGTTGACGCGGTCGAAAAATTACCGCGGGCAAATATCCTCGAGCGAATATATACACGTATGCTGCCTGTTCCCCTCGCTCGTTGCCGTTACACAACGAGGGTGAGATCGACGAGTGCGTGTACGCGCGGGAGCGCACGAGGGACTCTCCTTTCGGTAATCGATACTAATTAGAATGAGGCAAAGTTTCGGATCGTGTACCGGCGCTCGCTCCAATGATTCGCGCTCGCGTTCACCCTGACGCATATCCCTCCATTCCCGTCGTTCCTCTGAGAGAGGGAAGGGGGAGGAAGGGGGTTAATACCGACGAGACGTACCTACGACGTATTGTAGGCTTTCGTAGAATTTATCCGGCCATTATATCGGCGGCTGTGAGTGAGTGTTCTCGACATAAATGGGCCCTATCACTGTCACACGAACAAAGGACGGCCCCGACGTGGTTATGACGGCAACGCGATACCGCGCTTTCGAGTAATAATATAATAATCGCAGTTGTTTCGTCGTTGTTGAACCGCGGGATCGCCTCTCGTCCCTCCTTCCGTCTCTAAGCTCTCTTTCCGTTCCGGGCACATGAATAGGGGAAGAGAAAACCGCTCGACGTCTCTCTCCTTCGCGGCTATACCGGATACATCCTGGCGAACCTGAATATGGATTTCATTTCTTTCATATCGGCGCTTTGTGCAATTATTTTGCCTCTGCTTGCCCTTTTATCATCTCTGTCACCCCCATCTTCTTTGAATGCGCGCTTGTCTTCTCTACGACATGCGTGTCCTTTCCACCCGGAGCGCGTAATTTTTTTGTGTATATTTTATGATGCAAATATTGATTTTTAAAAACAAGTTTTCTGACGAGAGAAACATGTGATAAAAGCTATTTAACACGCGTATTTACAAGAATAACATTCTCAATAATTTTGCGGTGAAATATTAGAATTTTTTAAAGCTTGTAAACATGTTTGGAGATTTACAGTGAGAGATTAAAGTATAAAAATTTTAGATGGGAAATTTATTATATAGGATAAAAAAGATATCTTGATACAAATAAAAGACGAAATATATTTTCTTGCTGAACGTATTATAAGATCTGTAAAATATTCGCTGTATCGAAGAAAATCTCCATTTTTTTCAATCAGTGTATGCGAGTCAATTCTTGCAGGGACAAAAGATTATAAGCAGAAAGTGATGGTCTCCCCATCGTTCGCTTCCCGGCTATTACGTCCTTGACCGCTTTAACCGATCGGCCGATATCGATTTTGTGAGTGCTCGCCGCAAAACTATATCGGTTATCCGAACAATCAGTCGCTTCCGCTTACGGTGCTGTCGATTACCATCGTCAGCGTAGATTGTTTTAAAGCGGGAATTTCTAAGAACTATGGAGAATATAGCGCCATTAAAACATAAAAATTTTAAAACGTTGCGACAAAACCGGAGATAAGCCTAAAGTGTCTGAAGCAAGACATCGCGAGCAGTTAAAAACTTACGACGATAATATATCAGTAAAACTCTATGTTATATTTAAGACACTTTAAGAGACACGATGCGCGATATCTATAACAATATCCCTAAGAGATATTTTTATTCTTAAATTTTATTTGTATCTCTCTTAGATATCAGATATATTCAAGATAGCACAGAGATATATACTCGACATTTTTACCGGAAAAAAAAATAATCGACTATCGGATGCTGAGCGCTTCGCGAGCATTAAATAGCGTCTGCTTCTCTTTATCTTGACGGCAATATCGGACGAGACTGTTTCGATCGGAGGGAGAAATCGACTGTTTGACGAGAGGCTTATCCTTATCGTAAATACCGTTTCTCGCGATGCAGCCGCAGAAACGCCGCGCGCGTTTGGGTTACTTCAGACTCGTCGTGGAAATCGAACGCGTCTGTTAGGAATGTTTCGATCTCTCGCGGAGGGTAATCCCGGTTACGAGGAGTGCCACGACATCTCCGAGTACACAAGATAACACACCGAAACGAAAAGGGGGAGGGGGTGGGCGAGGTAGGAGATCTCGCCGTTGAGTATCCGTAAAACGCGCTCTCGGAAGGGTCGTAAACCGTATCCAAACAAACCTGAAATAGCTGGTCGAGACTCCGACGGAGTCTTGACGAGTCTCGCTGACTGCTGATGCCGGCATCAGCCGGCACCGCGTCTGTATTCTCGGCCGCAAATAAATAATAAACGTTACACGCATCGCGTCGCTAGTCCCTAGTCAAAAGCTGCGTCCTGCACCAACTATCATCGACTCCTTTTTACGACTGACGGATGCTTTAGAAAACGGCCAACGGATGAGAACGAAAGTATCCGGTTCGCGGATAAAGTGGTTACAGCATGGTTCCGCGATCTTTTCTAAACACTCAAGCCTCTATCAAAGATATATGTAATTTGAAATTTATGATTGTTATTTTTTTTTCTTTTTTTTTTTTTTTTTGAAAATGTCATTTTATATTAAATATGAATACTTTATATCTTCAACGTTGTATCTGATTCAAAACACTTTGATCAAAAATTGAATATATTTTTTATTTTAATTATTATGACGGTAAAAAATATTAAATAATAAAAAAATGATGTTTTGATATTTTCTTCAGTCAATTTCCTGCAGAGATATTCGACAGTGATTAAAGATATGATATGTTGTTTTTTATACCATAATGCCTCTCCGAAGATTAATAAAGATCCGCTGTATAAGATTATACATGATTACATTTCCAGTTGTTGCGAGTATCGGTAACGTTAATTATCATTTCAAATAGCGAATGCGTTTTAGCCACTTTTTGAATGACCCTCGCTCTCTCATATCGATACACCATGACCACCGTCTGCTTCCCGTTAGTATCCTAAGGGCAGCTGGGAGCGCTTCCGAGCCCTAAAACCACACCCTCGATTCTCATTAAGATTTACCGTGTAAACGAGCGTTGTCCGTGTTCGTACGGTGCTACTAATCGAACCCCTCGAGCCGAAAGAATTGAAAACAGTGTGGAGCCGACGCGTTCGAGGCTTTTAGGAGAACGAGATCGCCTGGCGTTTAAGGGCATCAAGGCAAGGAAGTCGAGGCAGTTGTCTGGTCGATTTACATTTAATGAAATTGCTATTAGGTACCGACACCATTATCAGTAAATTAATTCGTGCTTGGGCTAATGATTACGCATTACAATCACGTGTTAAAAATTAAAAGAATCAAATAATTATTAGATTATAGAGACTGAACAATTTCTTGACAATTTCTTCTTTTCTCGACAATTTTTTCGATTTATTATAATTCCATATGTGTAAATAATTAAAATTCTATCAAAACAAGATTCTGTTGAAATTATTAAATACAATCTTTTTATCTTTTCGTCCTTTCCGTCGAAGTTTAATTCGCAGAAAATTTTATATTTTTAGAGGCTTGTAAGTCAGAAACGATAAAAGCCTTAAAAGCCGTTTTTAAAAATTAATTTTAACTTATTAGAGAATCTGTCATTACAATTAAGATTGTGAGATATTATCTGTGACATTTCAATAATTAAAATAATATAATTAATAGATAAATATCCTTCTCTCTTATTTCATTGAATTTGTAAAAAAAAAAATATTATTTATATTTAAATATCTAGAAACCAGGGAAATGCGTAAATCAGTATGGGGTTCCTCAATTAATTAAGAAAATAAAAATGAGGGGTCTCTTTAAGAGCAAATTAGAGTAAGACTATCAATAGTTTTAGAGAGTTTAGTTGAAGAGCCTAACTCACTTGCTTGGCTTTCCTTCTAACTTTGTTCGCGACGAGGCTACGACTTCTCTCGTCCTCCCCGTATCCTGTGTTCCCTCCCGTCCCCTCCTGTCCGCATTTCACCTCCCGTGTCTCATCCTCTCGGGCCCTCTACGTCCTCTTCCCCTCTATAATTTTCACCCGAATACCTGCTCTAATTATAGGTGGTTCGTCACGGCGGAGAGTGAGTATCTTCTCGTAGTGTCGGTAGCTCGCTCGCGCGGTTCTCCATTCCGCCGTGTATATATCGTTGTAAGATATTTTATCGTGTCCCGTAAGATGATCCACGGCCACCGAGTTCTCTCGATAACGGACGGCGCCGGCTTACCTTGGATCCGGACGGTTAGCTTGGCATCAAAATCGGAGTGGAACGGTGATTAAAGCGTTCGCGACGAAGGATCGCTGTCGTCGTAGATTGCGCATTTTAACCGTACGCGGTAAAATTACCGTGCGTAAATTCTCAGCGAATAATTGATCAAACATGACTGTCGATTTCTCGTCGTTTTTCGATCGAATAATTAAACATGATTAATTGTTAATAATTATACATAATAATACATAACTAATTGAAAAACTAATAGTATCGTGTCTTTGTGTTGGACGAAATATCATTATATCGTTGAAAAAAGACAAGCATAGATCTAATATGCCGTCCATTCGCGATGACCTACTATTTGGCGCACCTAGCCCGTGCGATGAAGCGAGAATTAATTAAATTAATCACTCAATATATATATGATGATGATGATGATGATATATATAGCCGCGTCATTACGTTATTTCATGGCACGTATGTTCTGCTTTTATAGGTACTTGGGACTGGAACCGAGGCTGACATCCGGCTCGATTCAAGGGAGCGGCGTCGATCCGCAGACGCAGATCGCCGGCGCGGGTGTGATCGGTCCAGCGAGTGCCGAAAAGAACTGTAAGAACGCGCACCTGACCGCCAAGCAGCAGGCAATATGCTCCCGCTCGCCACCCGTCCTGCAGGTATTTACCTCGTCGCGGGCCGAAGGGCCTCGCAGCCTTTTTTTTCTCCCTCTCTCGTTCTTCCTTCTCTGCCTCTCTCTCTCTCTTTCTCGGATTAATGCCCGGGGAAGCACGCGGCTAATTCGATTCGCGGGACCTACGACCGCGTGCCGAACGAATGTATCGCCGGCCTTCGTCGGCCGATCGTTTGTCCGAAATTTTTCGAATCCCTTCTGAGAAAGCTTTCGGTAGATAGTTTCACTTCTTCGTAATAAATAGATTAATGTGTCATGATTAGCGGGCATTAGTAGGCATTTCTAAGAGAAATCATGAGAAAATTATAGCTTTCGTGCCGCGTGTAGAGATAATTTCCTTTCCGATAATTTATTAAGCTCGAATTTAACCTACGCAGGTGTAAATTGCCGGAGTCGCTACTAGGGATGCCGAATTTTCATATTAATTTTAATATTAAATCAATTTTAGATTAAGTTTCTTGTTATTGTTCTAAACGAGTTAAGAGAGTTGTAAATATTTAACGAATCGAAAATTATAACATCGTGTGCAATTTTTATTTAAACTATAGGCAAATGTTTTTTATTGACGAAAGAGATCTTTACAAAATTTATTTTGTGCAAAACTAGACATATATCTGAAGTTAGAAACCGAATTTTTTGGAAAAATTTTATTTTTTATAACAAGTAAAAATAAAAAACGTAAAGATATAAAAATGCCTATTTTTTATTTTAGATAATTTATTGAGATTGAATCTTAACCATCGCGCATAATTATTTAGGACGCCGTTGTTGTTTTTCTGTTTCAATCATCTTTTGCAATTTTCTATCTCAACTTTATTTTTATAATATACATATTTTATAAAAAAATATTTGTTTGAATAAAGTTTAACACGACGTTAAAAAATATCTTATTTTTCCATTAGCTAGACTCATATAAACCTTTGTTGAAATCACAATGGACGAGAAAAGAATTAAACAACGATCAGTGTACTGTTAAACACATTTTTTTTACCTACTCAAACAATACGTTTTGTAAATCTAATTGTGATTCCGCATGTTGCGGAATAGAGAAAGTGCCGCTCTCGCGACGGGATATATATTATTCGTCGTCCAAGAATACAAAGAATTACCGCGATAGTCACGACAATAGGGATAGGTAGGTACAAACTTCCATAAGCGGAACAAATTTGTTTTCCGATCGGCATAATGCGGTTTAGTTTCGGCACTGATCGTGACAAAACGAGAGAGCCGAACGTTGTGTGGTTCACGTGGCTCCGAAATCGCATTTACCTTTCCTAATGCACAAAACTTGTCGGGGATGAGCAGGGAAGAACGAAGAGAAAAGGGGAAGCGGTCGTCTAGGAATCTATCTAGGTGTACCTAGGTAAACCTGAAGAAACACTCGAGGCACGATATATCTCTTTGAACACTGCCGACAGCGCGGTCCCGCTTTTCCGAGAGTGTAGCTTTACCGACGAAAGGGCCCGAGCATGAATATTCATATGTCAATCCGGCTATCGAAGTTTAATTTTTTAACGAGCGACCAAACCCGTTAAGAAACGGCTGAGCGCTTTCCATCGATGTACCTACGGAATGTCCGCCGATATCGACGGTTATTGCTAGATATACTCTAGCCGTGATTTATACGGACGTTAAAGCGTGCCGTGTCGGCGTGTGTTTTTGCATGTTCTTGCACGTTTTCAATTAAAACTGTAAACTGGGAAAGTTGTATATTAATTTCATGACGCATAGTCATAGAGTTATTAAATAGTAATTTTCAATATGCTTTTAAATTATTAATTACATTTATGGTAAAATAAAAATAGTATTGGTCGGTCAAAATTATTAATAAATACCCCAACGGATATTCCTTTAATAAAAATTATTACGTTAAATAATAAATTTTTGAATTCTTAATAATATATTTTCTTTTTATGCATCAATATATTTTGATGTTGATTTTTTATGTTGAACAAATTTTTTATTGCGTGCTAATTTTTTTTACGTACACAATCTATATCGCCGATCAATATTCTATAGAATTACAGACAAAATTAAAAAAAAAAAATTGTTTAAAAATCATCTTGTTTGATACGAGTAAACGTTTCTTTTTTAAATATCCGAAAGCGGCATTTCTTTTGATATTCTCAGCTTTCACCGTCTTACTTGCAGGCAGTCAGCGCGGGCGCTAGACTCGCCATAGAGGAGTGTCAGCACCAGTTTAGATCAGCGAGATGGAACTGTTCCGTCAGCCCGGAAAATCCCGAGAACGTGTTTGGCGGCGTCACGTTAGTCAGTAAGTACTCACGGTCCGATGCTTGACTACCGCGTGTCGAATGTTTCGCTTCTTAGAGTTACTTGCGCCGATCCTAACACTTGTAACATCAAGTATCTCCACGAATGGTTGGCTTACATAGCGTGCAACACACAAAAAATGCGTACGTTTCGCAGATAGTCGAGAGGCCGCGTTCATATATGCCATATCAGCAGCCGGGGTCGCTTACAGCGTCACGAGAGCTTGTTCCAGAGGCGAGCTCACCGATTGCTCCTGCGACAATCGAGTGAGATCGCGACATCCGAACAATTGGCAATGGGGAGGATGCAGCGAGGTGAGAGAACGCTATATATTTTTTTTATATATTTATCATATATTTATATGAGTCTTTACCTATGCTCTTGTCATTTAATCATTGATGTATCTTTTCCTTATTACATGTAATAATGATTTATCGACTTTTATGAGAAATATTTTATATTATATTAGAGGTCTCTAATTATCTATTTGTCTAGGTATATATTCTATTTACATTACTTTAAAACTTAATCCCTCTTTTATATAAGAGATTTCAAGAAATAATATATTAAATACTATCTTTACCTACTTTATTAAATACCATTTTTACATATTTTGATACGATATTAATATTGTATATTCCGTTTTCAAGATTGCGTTACAAATGATTAAGACTCGTGCATCGATAATTCTCCGACATTCTCCCTCTCT